TTATTATTATTATTATTATTATTATTATTTTTATTATTATTATCATTAAACCGATGAGCGGAAGTAAAAAAAAAAATCACGAAGCTCACGACGTGAAAAAAAAAAAAAGAAAATTCGGATAAAATTTTTTTTTTTTCAAATTTTATTTTTTCCCGCCATTTTTAAAAAACGAAGAAGAGAGACAGAAAGAGGAAGAGAATAAAAAACATGGCGTATTTCACTCGTTCGAATTTGATTTAATTTTTTTTTATATATATAAATAAATAAAATCTCTTTTAATCGGCCGTAAAAAAAAAGAAATTAATAATAATAATGATAATAATAATAATAATAATAAAATTTTAAAATACCTTAAAAAAATGGCGTTAAAAATTAGAGTAATAAAATTTTAATTACTTTTAACACACGTGTGTGATTATTTTTTAATAAATTATTACACGCACGAAAAGTAATAAAAATAAAAATGGTGGAAAAAATAATAAAATTTTAAAATTCTCCTGAGAATTTTCTTTTATTAAAAAAAAAAAAAATTTAATCGTTAATTATATTTATTTATATATATATATATATGTGAGAAAAAAAAATGGCGGCGAAAATGACAAAGACGAAGACGTGGAATCAGACACCCTTTTTTTTTTTTTGTAAAGTCTTAAATTAAATGACGATGTAAGACAAACACGAAAAAAAAAAAATTTATTTTTATTTTAACAACCATTTTACGTTTAAAAAAACACGAATTTGTGTTTGTTGTTGTTGTCTTAGTCGTCGCGAACGCGTTTGTTGTTTGTCGTAAATAAATTTAAAACCACGTTAATGTTTTGTTTTTTACCGTTTTCGTTTATTTTTTGCTGTTTAATTTCACTTGAAAAAATTTATTTTCAAAGGTTTTAAAAAACTTTTTACTAAAGAAAACAGTGCAAGAAAACAAAAAAAACAAAATGGCGGCTTTTGTTATAAAACATTCTCGCGTAAACAAATAAATAAACAACGATTTTTCAGAAAAAAAAATTTTTTTTTTTTTTTTAAACGTATAACAAATTTTGAATTTTTTTTTCTCTTCCCCCACTCTCTCTACCCTCCCCCTGCCTCCCACGGCAGCTTCTAATCTTTAATCAAGGGCCTAAAGCATAAAAAAAAAAAGTTTTAGAAAAGGAAAAGAGAGAAATGTTTTAATCTTTTTCCTAACACCAGATTGTAAATAAAACATTTTTAGATTAAACCCTTTTTTTCTTCCTTTCTTCCTTTTTTCTTTCCCTCCATTTTTTTTTTATTTTCCACCTGTATTTTCCTTTAAAAAAAAAACAAAAAACAAAACAAAAAGCAGAAGACAAATTTAAGTTAGGAGAAGACACAAACACACACGCAGACTTACAGGAAAAAAAAACAAAAAACATTCTTAATAAAACATTTTTTTTTTCGTTTGTATTTAAAGTTTTATATAAATAAAAAGAAAAACAAAATGGCGGACGATAAATAACCAAATAATACAGAAACATTTTTTTTTTTAAATAAAATTTAAATTTAAAACTTTTGTTCGAAGTAATTAATTTAAATTTTTTTTTTTTTACGTTGTCGGCTCTGCCTGTTGTGTTTTCATCGTACAAACAACATTTAAATTTAGAAAAAAAAAAAAAATTGGGGTTGTTACGGGTCATTAACACGTCATTAAAAATAATTACGTAATCATTTTTTCCAATATGGCTTTTAATTGGAGGAGTTTGTTAATTATCAACAGGTAGAAAAATCTCTACGAACGAAAATTATGTTTCGCTAACGGGAAAATTAATTGTAATAAATAAACGAACCTGATTGGTCGATTGTTCGGTCTCTCCCTCTCTCTCTTTTTTTTTTAAATATTGTGAAACAATGGTAACGAAAAAAAAAAATCATTTATTATCATTATCACTGTAGTAATAATAATAATAATTTTTGAACGTTTACGAAAATCTCTAAACTTTTTTGTCTGAGACAAAAAAAAAAAAAATTTAATATGGAAACGTAATAAAAATATTTTCATCGTTTATTATGCGCAGACGAAAAAAAAAAAAATTTATATATTTAAATACAACAAAAACAACAACAACAACAACAAACAAAATTGAAATTCCACGACAAACAATAAACAAACACGTTTGAAAAAAAAAAAAAAGAAAATTATTTTTTTTAGAAATTTTTTTTTGTAACTTTTTCTGTTGTATAATCATCATCATCATCATCATTATTATTATTATTATTATTATTATTATTATTATTATTATTATTTCCGTTCGGTTAATTTTAAATCTTTCGGAGACTTGAATTCAAGTCAGGATTACAATTTGCTTAGAAAATAAAAATGTGGATTTTGGAAAATTTTTAGAGAATGAGCGGAAAAGTTAGAGAGATAGAAAGATGGGAAGGGAAAGCGGAAGGGGAAACGAGGGGTGGTGGGGAGAAAAGGGCAGGAAACACGAAAAGATCGGGGGAAGGGAAGGGGGAAGAGAAAATGCGTAATTTAAAACGGATTTTCTTAAATCGAAAATTCAATGGAAAACGCGTCTTAGAATAATTTATTCATTGTCGCAATTTTTTTTTTTTGTGGGAGCTCCAGAGAGAAAGAGAGAGAGAGAGAGAGAGAGAGAGTGAAAGTTTTACAAATTTAAAAATTTTCTATTTTAATTTCGATTTTCTTTTAATTTTTTTTTTACAAGTATTCTACCGGAAACGGAAAATAAAACAAAAAAAAAACATTTCTTGCGGGTTTTTACACGTATTTTCTATTTTTCTCATACGGAAAAAAATTGTTTTTGTTTCCCCCCCATAACCTTTTTTTAACCTTTCGTTTCCATTTTCTCCCTCCTTCCCCTTTCCAATTCCCCCCTCCCCGGCTCGTATCTTTCGTAAAATCCTTTTTTTTAAAATAAATAAATTTAAAATCTTGTTAATTGTCACGTTTTTTTTTTTTTTTAACCAAACGCGAAGCATGATTTTATCATTTTTTTTTTATTCCTTTTTCGTAGTATCATTTTTCCTTTTTTTATTCCTTTGAATTTCCTTTTTTAAACCCAGTTCACAAATTATTATTATTATTTTTTTTAAGGTTCAAGGTATTTGTTCACACCGAAAATCTTGTTTTTTTGTTCATCTCTTACAAAAAAAAAATAAGTTAAATTATTTTTTATTGCTTATTAAAGAAAAAAAATTTTTTTTTTACAAAATGGCAAAATTTGCCATTTTGTCAAAAATTGGTTGTTAAATTTAACTAATAAAAAAAAAAAAAAAAAATTGAAATTGGAAAAATTTTTTTTTTCTTTTCTTACACTCGAATGATTACGTAACCGAATAAATAAAATGAAATAAGAAGGAAGAGGGAAAGGGAAGGGGGAGAGAGGCAGGGGGAGGAGGCAAACCTAACGAAGGATGAACAAAATAAAATTTTAAATTTAAATTTTTCTTTTTTTTAAAAAAAAAAAAAAAAAAAAAATCTAAACGTGGCAAAAATGTGTCGACGGATATTGTGAACATATTTCATTATGGTAAATTCCAATCAAATACAAATTTTACGGTTTATTTATTTTAAATAAAAAAATAATAATAATAATACTGATGATGATGATGATGATGAGAACCGTGTAAAAAAAAAAATATTAGCGTTAGTATTATTATTATTATTTTCCGACGAATTTCGGAGTAAAATAGAATTTTTTTTTTTTCTCGATGTAAAATGCCTTTTCTCGCTGTAAAATGCCTTTTTATTAAATAATTTTTAAAAAAAATTAATTTTTCTAACGTAAGGTTGATAATTTAATAATTTCACTCTCTCTTTCTCTCTCTCTCTTGTTTGTTTTTGATTGTTTGTTCGTTTGTTTGTTTTAATTTTTAAGTATTGATCGAGTTTAAACAAATATTTAATTATTGACCTTTTTAAAATTAAAAAAAATCGTTTGCGGTACCTAAAAAAAAAACCAATATTATTATTATTTTACAAGGGATAAGTCATTCGTAGAATTTCATCTTTTAAATAATAATAATAATAATAATAATACTAATAATAATACTAATACTAATTGTAATTTTTTTTATTTTTTATTTGCAGAAAAATGTAAATTTCACGAAATGTCATATTCGTCAGATTCAAAAACGAAAAAAGATCCATCAATCGATGAAACAATCGTGAGTAAGTAAAAAAAATTATTATTATTATCACTATTATCATTATTATTAACGTCGCATTTTCATAGTTTCGTTCGATCCTTTGGAAAAAATTTTCTTTTTTTTTAAATGTAATAATTTCCCTCCGCCCTTTTGTTTCTCCACAAAAAAAAAAAAAAAAAAAACTCGAATCGTCTTTTTTCTCATAATTGCTATCATTATTATTATTATTTTATTCCTATTATTATCATCATCATCATCAATTAAAAAAAAAAAAAACTTATATTATTATTTTTATTATTATTAGATTATAATAAAACGGAAGCGGTTTTTTCAATAATTGCATTGGCACTTATGATAATCGGATTCATATTTTCTTGTTACACGTTCAATAACACGAGATACATGTTTAAAAGAACCGCCGGAGGAATACATTTCTTATCAAGTGAGTTCATTTCTTATCATCTATTGTTTATAAATAATAATAATAATAATAATAAATTAAATAATTAATATTTATAAGGATAAACAATAAGAAAAAAACTTTCATTGAGAAAAAAAAAATGGTAAATTTAACAAACATCATCATCCTCATCATCTTTGTATTGTTAAAAGCTTTTGAAAAATAAACAAAGACAACAAATAAAAAAAAATTAGAGAGAGAGAGAGAGAGAGAGAGGGGGAGATGTAGAAAACAATAGAATTTTTAATTTTTGATAAATATTATTATTATTATTATTATTATTATTAAAATTAATTGATAAATTAAGAGAAAAGGAATCGAACAACGAGTAATAACACTTTAAAATCATTATTTATTATTATTATTAAGTGGTTAAAATTTCTAAATGAAAAATAATAATAATAATAATAATAAATAAATAGAAAAAGTAAAAATACCATTATTATTATTATTATTATTAATAATATTTTATTCGTTTTTCAATAGTAATTTGTAAAATCGTTTTTTAAAAAAATTTAAGCAAACGAGAGAAAACGAGAGCAAACGCGCGCACACACACACACACGCAATAAAAAAAAAAAATAAAGGAAATAATTAATGGTGATAATAATAATGATAATGATAATGATAATAATAAATAAATGATTTTAAAAAATCTTTTTTTTTTTTTATCGTTTTTTTGCTTTAGCAAATTTGTTATGATTCGATGCCAAAAGTAATAAAAACCTTGTTTGAATAGTTTAAAGACATAAATTATAATTTTTTTTTGAGAGAGAAAGAGAGAGGGAAAGATAGAGTGAGAGAGAGAGAGAGAGAGAGAGAGAAAGAAAACAAAGAAAAAAAGGATGAGATAGAAAATTTATTCATTTATTTATTTATTTTGTTGTTTTTAGCTGGATCGACTTTAACGGTTATCGAAGTTGTTATTAATTCCATCGAATATGAAAAAAAACATTTACCATTTACTTATCCACCGGGTGCAACACATAAATACGGTTACAGTTTTGTATTGGCTTGGTTAGTTTTCATATGTAATCTTTTATCAGGTTGTGCCTTCATATTATTTTCAAAAAAAAGAAAAGGACAAAAAGCACCAAATGAAGAAATTGCAATGGCGGATTGTCCGACGATTATAGGAAGGTGAAATTATTATTATTATTATTATAAAAGAATTTATCAAATCGTTTGTGAAACTTTCTTTTTTTTTAAGTATAAATTTGTAAATAATTAAGTAATAATAATAATAATAATAATGGGTGCCTTTTAATATTTTACGAATCGTTTTAATTATCGTAAAATTTTGTTGATTTTATTTCTATTATTATTATTTATTTATTTACTTTTTTTTTTAATTATTTTAAATTTTTCTAATATTTGTGAATTTATTATAAAAAAAATTAAAAAATTAAAGAAAAGACGTTTAATAAAATTATGTGTATATTTTCTATAAAATTTTATTGTGAAAAATTGTGGAAATATATGAACAAACGTGATTTCTATGTTGTTGTCATTAAAAATTGTTTTTTCCATTTTAAATTTTATTTTTCTAATTGATTAAATAAATGTTTGAACAATTTATTATATTTTATTATTCAATTATTTGATTTGAAATTTTTTGTCGTTGTGGTTGTATTTGGAAGGTTTAGTTAAATGTTTTGAACAAATAATCAGATAATTTAATTATTACTGAGAGGAAAAAAAAAAACGTTTTTAAATATTTAAAAAATTGAAAGAGGAATTTATCAGTTTAAAATTACGGTGGTTATTCAGTTAGCGTAGTTAATTTAATTTTATTTTTTAAAATTATTAATTAATTTTAAAGTAAAAAAAAATATAAAAAAATATTGAGTTTAAAAAAGAAACAAAAAAATTCAAATGAAAAATTTAAGCGCTAAAGTCGTATGGCAACAAGTCGAATTTTTTTCTTTTTCAATATTCAACGAGACTAAGTAACTTGATAACGGAGGCTTTGAAATTGCGCGTTCAGTAATCTCGGTCACGGGATTTCTGATTAGTGTCACGTCAAGTCTCTTAACTTTTACGTCAGTTAGTATTATCTAATTTTCACAGCGAAAACTAGTCAATTTATTGTTGTTAAATTATTTAGTGAATTAATTACATTGTTGATAAACTGTAATTGTTTGTTTCATTAATTTTAATTAATAATAGACGTTGAATGGAAAAATGGCCGACGAAACATCTGTAAATAATGAAAACCATGGAACTAAATCTGCGCCAGCAATGATTTGCGACAGTCCTGTGACAGATCCTGGTTCCACTATTAAAATATTCGATGGTTCTAATAATTTTGGTGCGGAAAGAGCTAAAATTGAAATGCAATCATCGACGGCTTTAAAAAAATCTAACCGGTATCGAAGTCGTTCGTTGTCAGCGTCTTCCCAAGATTCATATAGTTCTGCTTCCTATACTGAAAGTAGTTCTGAAGAAGATGACGTTTCTCCAAGAGAAAAAATACAAAAAAATTCTTCAGGTTTTAAAGATTTTTGTGTACGAAATATAGCTCAAAGTGCTTTTGGGAGAAGGGAAATAGAAATAGCTGAACAAGAAATGCCTGGTATCATGGCTCTTAGAAAAAGAGCTGTCGATGACAAGCCTTTAAAACAAGCTAAAATAGTAGGATGCACTCACATAAATGCTCAGACAGCTGTATTAATTGAAACTTTGACAGCATTAGGAGCTCAAATTCGATGGGCTGCATGTAATATTTACTCGACTCAAAACGAAGTTGCAGCTGCTCTTGCTGAATCAGGTTTGTCAGTGTTTGCCTGGAGGGGTGAGACAGAAGAAGATTTTTGGTGGTGCATTGATAGGTGTGTTAATGCTGAATATTGGAGACCAAATATGATATTGGATGATGGAGGAGATGCGACTCATTTGATGCTAAAAAAATATCCAGGAATGTTTAAAATGATTAAAGGCATAGTCGAAGAAAGTGTAACTGGAGTACATAGATTATATCAACTTTCCAAAGCAGGTAAACTGTCAGTTCCAGCGATGAATGTAAATGATTCTGTAACTAAAACAAAATATGATAACCTGTACAGCTGTAGAGAATCTATAATTGACAGTTTAAAAAGGTCGACAGATGTTATGTTTGGAGGTAAACAAGTTGCAGTTTGCGGATATGGAGAGGTGGGAAAAGGATGTTGTCAAGCCTTGAAAGGTCTCGGATGTGTTGTGTATGTCACTGAAATTGATCCGATATGTGCTTTACAAGCTTGCATGGATGGTTTTAGAGTTGTTAAATTAAATGAAGTTATTCGTAATGTTGATATCGTTGTTACTGCCACAGGAAACAAAAACATAGTAACAAGAGAGCACATGGATAAGATGAAAAACGGTTGCGTTGTTTGCAACATGGGTCACTCAAACACAGAAATAGATGTTAATAGTTTAAGAACGCCGGATTTAACTTGGGAAAAAGTAAGGTCTCAGGTAGATCATATCATATGGCCGGACGGTAAGAGAATCGTTTTGTTGGCCGAAGGTAGATTAGTTAATCTTAGCTGTTCGAGTTTACCCTCGTTTGTCGTGTCAATAACGGCAGCAACGCAAGCATTAGCTCTCATAGAATTGTTTAACGCTCCTCACGGACGATACAAATCCGACGTTTATTTATTACCGAAAAAAATGGATGAATACGTTGCCAGTTTACACCTTCCGACGTTCGATGCTCATTTAACGGAATTAACAGACGATCAAGCTAAATACATGGGCTTGTCGAAAGCGGGTCCGTTCAAACCAAACTACTATAGATATTAGGTAATTAATAATAATAATAATAAAGCATAAACATTTGAAATTATAAAAGACAATGTTCAAATTTCACACAAAACGAACGAGAAACATAAATAGTAGATGAAGAAGAAAGAGAAAGAAAAAAAAATGGCGAAAGCTTTCACAAAAGGAGTTTTTTTTCTTTTTTTTTGTATGTGTCACATTAAAAGCATTCTCATACAAACATGAATGTTTAATGCGACAAAGAAATTTTCATTCAAAAAAAAATATTATTTTAATGAGTGACAGACAGTATGAGAAAAACCGATTTGAACGTTGTTTTGTTTACATCATTTTTATGCTTTTGTATATTATTTTCATTTGTTGCTATTGTAATGTAAGTATTAGATATATGAAAAATCCGTTTAGTTTAAATAATAGTTTTTAAAAAAAAAAAAACGAGAAAAAGAAAAAAAAACCACACACACACACACACACCATACAACAGAGAGACAAACAAACAAACAAACAAACGTTTGAATAGTTTTTTTTTTAAACACTTACTAACATTTAATGCCATTATTCGAGTTCCTAATGAATAGTGCTTGACCGAATTAGAATTTGAAATAAAGACAGAAAAAAAAAAAATTAGAAATGCAATAATATAATATTTTAAATATAGACAAATATAATAATAATAATGAATAAACTATAATAATAATATTAATAATAATATAATAATATAAAAATTAGTTTAAAATTAATGAGGTTGCACACACACATACACACGTGCGCGCGCGCGCTCTCGCGTAAAATTTTTTTGCCAATTTGTTCGTTACAAAATGGAACGTTTCAAATATTTAAATTTTTTTTTGTTATTATCATTATTATTTAGCTGGACAAAAACGAAAAAAAAAAGTTTATTTGAATTTTCTTTTTTTTTTTTTCTTTCTATTTAAAAGGGAGGGGGGAGAAAAATTGAAACGTGATCATTATCGCGAAAATAATCATTTTTTTTTTTTTAAAAAAAAAAAAAATTGGAAAATCGGAAATTTTTAAAATAAACGTATTTAAAATGGCGGATTCGTCCTCGTCCTCATCGTCGTGACGTCATCAATTAAAAAACCGAGAAAATTTTGCCGTTCGAAAATTACGTAACGAACAAATAGTTTTTTTTTTTTTTTTTTTTTCTTTTTTTTCCGTTTCTTTGCACTCGAATTAATTCTTAAGAAAAAAAAAAAAAAAAAAAAAAAAAAAAATTCAAGGTTGGCAAACGTGATTCCACCGATTGTTTTTACAGAACGTGAATTTTTTTCTCTCTTTTTTTTTTTCTTCTCTCTCTCTCTCTCTCACAAGTGAATTTTTTTGTCAATTTTTTTTATATTCCTGTCGTCGTGCAAAACCAAAAAAAAAATTTTTTTTTTACATTTTTCATTCATTCATTCATTCATTCATTCTCGCAGTTTTTTTTTATTACTTGAAACCTGTCGTCGCATCGTGAATGGTAATAATTATCATCATCGTCATCGTCATCGTCATGTCCGTTGTTGTCAAGCAGAAAGGAAAAAAAAAAAAAAATGTATTTAATATTTTTTTGTTTGTTCGTTTGTTTGTTTGCCGATTGATTTGAAAGGGTAACGAGGAAAACACGAATAATAATTTTCGCGTTTATCATTTTCTCACGATTATTAATTTCGAGCTTTGAGCTTTCATCATCATCATTATTATTATTATTATTAATTATTATTATTATTATCATTATTATTATTATTATTATTGTTACTACGATTATTAGTCTTTCACGACATCGAAACATTTAAATCATCGTGTTATTTACAAAAAAAAAAAAAAAGAAAATCCACAACAGCAACGTCGTGGGATGGGTGGGTGTTGGGAGGAGGGGTGGAGGACAGTCAACAAACACAACAAACAGTGTCAACGATTGTTTTTATTTTTTTTTTCTTTTTCTTTTCTCTTTTTTTTTCGTACCGGAAATAAAAATATCCGGATGATGATTAAATTTTTCGCGGTTTTTTTTTTTAAATAAAAAAATGGTGGTAGTAATAATAATAATAATAATAATTTGTTTAATTTTAATTTTGCAACCCGAAGCGAAAAAAAAATTAGGGGAAAAATGTTATTCATTTCCGGTTTGTTATTTTAAGTTAAAAAAAAAGGTACGCGTAAGTAGTGAAAGAGTTTTAGAGCGGAAATAACGAGTAAAAGAAACACGAAAGTTTTTTAGTTTTTTGCGAATTTGTTTTTTAAAAAAAATTTTTTTTTACGCGCGAATCGGAAACGGAAGTGCGGTGGGAAAAGGATGAAATCGAATTGGGGAAGGGGGGGGGAAATGGTAGTAATAATGATGATGATGATGATGGTTACGTTAATGATTGTTTCTGTCGCCGTTGTCGTTATTATTATTATTACTAGCATTCAAAAAAAAAGAGAAAAAAAATAAATTTTTTGTTTGTTTGTTGTTGTTGTTTTTGTCAGTATACGATATCGATCGTCAGTTATTGGGTAATAAAATGATAAGAAAAAATTTTTTTTTTTTAATTTATTGTCCTCATTCAGTTAATTTATTACTCGGTTTTTATCAGTGGTTTTTTTTTTTTTTGGTGATTATAATGAAAATTTATTTATTTATTTGTTAATTAATTATTAATTATTAAATTTTTTTTTTTGTATTAATCAAAAATAAATAATGATAATGATAATAAAAATAAAAAATAAAATCGATAAAATTTATTGTTTGTTTTTTCATTTATTTTTTATTTTTTTAATAATAAAAAATTGTTTATCACGTGTGCGCTATTAATAATAACTATTATTAACTAATAATAATGATAATAATAATAATAATTATTATTATTAGTTAATATTACGTAATTTGAAGAAAGAAATAAAGTTGAAATTAAAAGAAGAAAAAATTTTTAATTAATTATTAAAAGAGAAAATAAAAATGAAAAGGAGGAGGAGGAGGTGGTGGTGGTGATGGTGGGAGGTGGGAGGGTGATGGGGGTCGTAATAAAAGTTTTATTTATAAATTAATTTATTATTATTATTAAAAAAAGGAAAAAAATAGACGTGGAATTAGATTATTATTAAATTTGAAAAAAAAAACTAAAAATTTTATCATTTAATTATTATTATTATTAATTTCCCCCCCCCCCCATTAATGAATTTTTTTAATCTCTCTCTCTCTTTTTCTTTCTTCTCTCTCCCCAATTTTTTTATTTCTCTCTCTCTCTCTCTTCTTCTTTCTCTTATCATTTTTCCTTTATTTCTCTTTCTCTCTTTCCCTTTTTCTTTCTTTTTCTCCTTTCTTTCTCCATTTCTTCATTATTTCTCTGTCTCTCTCTCTCTCTTAGTCTTTCCTAAACTTCTTGGATGAAGATTAAAACAATAACTAACGTTTAAATAGAATAATAATAATGATGATGATGGTATTTGAAGGCTTACGTTTATTTTTAACAATAAAATTTTTTTGTTGTTTCTTTTTTTTCGTATTGTTTTCGTGTAATTTGTGATTTTTTTTTTTGTCTTTTCATGACGTCCTCGTCGTCGTCGTCGACGACGAGGTTGACGAGGTTGACGTTAACGTCCTTGTTATCCAATTAAATTGACAATAATAATCGTCAATAAAAAACGTTAATGAAAAAAAAAAAAAAAAAAAATTGTTTTTGTCGTCGTCGTCACGTTAATAAATTTATTTTCCTTCAAATTATTTATTTATAATAATAATAATAATAATTTAAACGAAGGACAAAATAGTTTAAATAAATTTTCGATTAATAGAAAACAAAAAAAAAAAAATTTTTTAGTTCACGTAATATTATTATTACGTTAAAAAAAAAACAAGATGGCGGAAAAACGCGAAGGGAAATCCCACGATTAAAAAAGAAAAAATTTATAGTTTTTTATTAAAAATTTAAACAAAAAGAAAAAGAAAGAAGAAATTTATTAACGACATTTTTCTGTCATTTAAAAAAACAATTGAAAACGTTTTTCGATTACGTAACATAAAATGTTTGCATTTTTTTTTTTTTTATTTCGGTTGAATAAATTTTCTAATTTAGTGTTTGTTTGTTTGCTTGTTTGTTCTAGAAAGGAGAAAAAAAATTATATATATATATATATATATATATAAATTTTATAAACGAAGGTAAAAAAAAAAAAAAACGATCGTCACGTTTCCTTTTCCTTTTTTTTTTTTTCAGCGATTGGCATCCCTGTTTTCCCTACAATACGTAATAGATGAGCAATCGATGAATTTTTTTTTTTAAATTCGTTTCCGACAGAAAATTTTTTTTTTTTTAATTAATAAGAACAGGATGTTTTTTTAATTCAACGGAGGAATCCCCCTCTTCCCCCCCCCAAGAAAAGAGATTTTTTTTGTGGGGGGAAACTGCCAGATTTTTTTTTATATATAATATTTCCAACGTTTGATAGAATCCGCAAATTTTATTTAAAAAAAAAAAAAAAAAAAATTGCCAGAATATTTTAAGAATTTATTTTAACCTTGTCTTTTGTTTTTTTATATATATATTTAAATTATTATTATTATTATTATTATTGTCGCGTTTTCTCTTCTTCCCTCATCACCTCCCCCTCCCCTCACTCTCCTTTCAAAAAAAATTATTATTAATTACGTTAAAAAAAAAACAATAAAATTTTTTTTTTATTTATTTTTTCTACTCTCGTGTTTGTTCGTTCGTTTGTTTGTTTGTTGCAAACGAAAATTCAAATCAAGGCCGTGAAATTTTTTTTTCATATTTTTCCGATTTTTAATTATTTCATCATTTATTATTAATCTTAGCAAATATTTTGGGTCAGGAGCCAATCGATCAACAACAGCAAAAAAAAAAAAAAATTAATTATTTTTAACCGTTAAAAAAAAAATTTTCTAGAATATTCTAAAAAAGATTTTTTTTTTAATTATTAATGTACTCTTTTTACTTTTATCATCATCATCATCATCATCATATTTAACATCAATTGATAAAAATGATAATATGTAAAGATAATAATAATAATTGTTACAATTGTTAGTTAACAAAAATTATTATTATTTTTTTAACCCAAAAAAAAAAAATTTTAAGGACTTTTAAAATCGAAATCTAAAAATTTTTTTTTTCTTTTCACATTTGATAAACAATTTAAATATCTTTCCCATCATCATCTTCATTATCATCATCATCATCATCGTCATCATCATCATCATCATCATCATCATCATCAACACCACCACCACCGCCAAATTATTTTCATTTTTTTTTTTTATTACTCGTGTAATTAATGACAAACATTTTATTATCATTATTATTATTATAAGGAAAGGAAAGGAAAACAATCATCCCTACAGGTACCCCTACAAGTATCCCTACAAGCATCCCCCCAATAATAATAATCAAATTAACAAATCATCGAATATCATTAACCAATGGATGAGGGAGCCCCTCCCCTCCTTTAAGGGGGAGGCCACACCCACTTATAATAAAAAAAAAAAAACAAATTAATTAATTTAAAGTTTGATTTATTGTTATTATTATTATTATTATTATTAATTTACAATCACAATAAAATTATACATAATATAATATTTAAAAAAAAAATAATTAAAATTTTATTTATTAATAAATTTGTCAATAAATATCAATTATTATCATCATTTTTAATAAAAATAATTTATTTATTTATTTATTTCTCGATTAAAGTGCTAAAAATAAAATAATCTAAAACTAATAATAATAATAATATTAATAAAAATTTTAGAGGTCACTTATTTATTAATAATTCATTTTAAAATTTATTAATAATAATTATAATAATGATAGTTTAACCCGATTTAAAAAAAGGCAGTAATTATAAATAAATAAAAAAAAATGCACAATAATAACAATAAAATAAAAAAATTAATAAATTAATACTTATTTATTTATTTATTAATAAGTTTTTTTTTTTTTCGTTAAAATAATTTTCTTCTATTACATAACAATTAAAAAGAAAAAAAAAGCACGTGAGTTAATTTCAAATCTTTCTTTTGTTTTTTAATAAATAAATAAATAAATAAATAAACGTTTGTTGTAAATTAATTTTTATTTATTTATTTATTTTTTTTTTTTTCGTATAATCCACGTTACATAATTTTTTTTTTATTAACTTTTTTTCGTTTTATCAGACTTTTTATTTATTTATTTATTTATTAAGTCATCGTCGTTTATTTTAAAAAAAATTTTTTTTTCCCAAAGTTAATAACAAACAAATGCGAATCAAGGCAATTAATTAATTTTTGAGGCACTAAAAATTTACATTCTTATGAATGAGTAGCAGTAGCAGTAGAAATAGTAGTAACAATAGTAGTAGCAGTAGTAGTAAAAATATTTTTTAAAAAAATAATAATAATAATAATTTGAATTTTACACACGTGAAAATAATTTTCTTTAAAAATTTTCACAAGCACGAAGTCGCATTCATACACACTCACTCACTCGCTCACTCACTCACGCACGCATCTAACACACATTTAATAATATCCTCTTTTTTTTTTTTTTTTTTTTTTAAATTTCAATATATATAAATATTATTATAAAATAATGATAATAAAAATAATAATATATTTGTATATAATGAATGATATGTATATTATAAGATGAATAACCGAAATTAATTAATCATTGATTTATTGATTTATTGATTGATTTTCGTCATCACATTTTCTTCATCGTTTCCATTTTGTATAATAATTCGTAACGTAATTAAATTTCCTTTCCACTCAAAAGCAAGGACTGTACTTCTTTGCAAAAATGATAATAATAATAATAATAATAATAATAATAATAATAATGATGATGATGATGATGAGGATTTTCACGCAAATCGACAGAAAATCGATTCGCGTGAAAATTCCAAACGTTTAAAAATTTATTGATTCCCTCCTACTCCTCCTCCTCCTCCTCCTACCCCCCAAATCGTTATTACATGCACACGTGAGTGCACGTGTTAAAAATATTCATAATAAAAAAAAAAACGACGCCCTGCCTCCTTCCCCACCCACATTCCCAACGCCAATATACATCGAAAAAAAAAAAAAAAAATCTTTTCGAATTTTCAATTTTTTATTTTTATTTTTTGCTTTCCCCATTTTTTATTTACACGATTTTCCGCACGCACGCGCACGTGCACACACCTACACACACACACACACACACGCACGCACGCAAACAAACAAACAAACGAACAAAATTTAAAAAAAACGAATTTAAAAATAAAAATAAAAAATAAAATAAATTTTTTTTTTTTTTTTTAAACTTATTTTGAAACCTCTCAAGTTTTTTTTTTTTGTGCTTTATCGATTTTTTTTTTTTTTTTCCGTTTGCAAAGCAAATAAAAAGTATTATTATTATTATTATTATTATCACGATACGACCTAACTTTTAAATTTCTTTCGAAATAGCATAAATAAATTTAGCGTGTGCGTATTATAATAATAATTATGCGTTACCATTTGTGAGAGAAATAATGTGCGTAATTACAACATGTGTGCCTACATACATGCGTTTGGGTGTATATATAAATATAAATATTTAAAATCTATTATTATTAATATTGATTGATTGATTGACTGATTGATTAAACCGTGTCAGAATAATAAGATAATCCGTCGCTTTCGGATTCGCTTTGAGTCTGATTGAAATACATGCTAGACCATGATGACCGTAACGAAGGAGTTATGTCTTCGAAATCGGCCAATGGCGCACGTTTCGTACGAATGGATGCTTTTCGAAGTATCGCGTTTTTCCATGCCGATCTCGTCGCGGGTTGTACCTTATCCGAATTCGTTTCTTTTCCCGACAAATACGATGATGATGAATTGATGACGTCATGATGAGAATGAGAATGATTTAATATTCTAGGTTTTGGACTGTCTCTTGGTTCGAATTTATCCGTGTCGAGTGTGATTATGCTGTTGCTTTCCTTCATAAGGCTGAAAAGGACAAAAAAAAAAAAAAAAAAAAAAAAAATTGTTTAATAAAGTTTTGTTTGGATGACTCCTCGAGTTTTAAAATTAACTTAAAAATTATTATCGGAAATCGATAAAAAAAATAACATTTGGAGAAAATAAAAAATGAATTGCGATGATGACGTCGTTTTAACCGCAAGTAATGAATGAACGAGTTAAATTTAGTTTCATCAACCTTAACCTACAATGACTGACATTCAAAAACGAGTAATGGAATGACTAAAAATAACTTCTGAAATACTTTTTTTTTACTTATTATCATCATTATTACTTTTTATTAATATTCCAGAGAAAAAGAAACGGATTAAACATCTAATTAGGCATCACAGCACTCGAATGTTTAAAAAAAAAAAAATGCAAAATGTTATTAAACAAAATTTAAATTTAAATTCGAATTGAAATTTATTTTTTTTTTCTTACCTTCTGTATCTTGAAATTCTTCTACTTTGCTAAGAGGGCGTAAAACAATTCTTGGATCCTTTTCTAATATTCTTTCACTATCTTCATTACTAAAATGATGAATCCATGCGAGAATTAATAAAATTTAAAAAATTTTTGTTAGACGATTCACAACATTAAAATCGTTTTCAATTTTTTAAATTCGTTTCTCATTTTTATTATAATTAATTAATTAATATTAAATATAATACTGTGCAATTAAAATATGGTGAGGAAAAAAAAAAGAAACCATTTCATTAAATTATCACATTAAGGAATTACATTTCCTTTTTTAAATGATTATAAAAAAAAAAAAAAAATTGTTAAGTAAATTGATTAGTTTTTAATTCGTAAATCCTTCATTTAAAACTTTTATAAAAATATTAACATACCAGTCTTTATTATCGCTCCCCATTAACTTCCTAGTTTCTTCTTCTTCAGAAACAACTGGAGGCTGATATGAAATTTCAGAAACAGGTGCATATTGTGTAGTTACCAGAAAATCTGTCGATGGATTCATTGCTTGACCGTTAACACTTTGAGAATCTCTCATTTGATGAGAAATCCTTTTATCTTTAATTATTATTCTAGGACATCCTCTGCAATTTCCTTGCCTAATTTAAAAAATAAAACTCACAAGTTAATTTAATAATAACAAAATAAAACCTATTAATAATTAATATTTCTTTTTTTTTTTTTTTTACCTAAGAAATACTCCGATTAATATGCATCCAATCATTAATAAAATACAACCGATAACTAATACAACTATATCTGATGTAGAACTTTCAGATTCATCTTTTGAAAGAGCTACTGACCCTGCAGGAATTAAAATAATACTGGAAAAAATAGCTGTAATCGAAGAAGACAAAAAAACGATAAAAAATAATAAAATTTTATTTGAAACTTTTATGACTGTAACTCTCTAAGAAAAAAGTAATTAATTAACCTTACCCAGAACACCTAAACCTAAAGTAACCCATTGTAAACATCTGGCTCTTCCTATTGATGTGGTCGTTTGTGATAAAAGGCCTGAGGGGCTATTCCACTCAGTTTGGGGTTCATAACTTTCTGTTGTAGGCTGATAAACTGGTCCACGATTAGGCATTTTGTGTGTATGTGTGATTACTTTTTACGGGTAAACTTTAAAAAAATCTAATTTGAAATGACATAAAATGAACATGTATTATTAATTGGAAATATGAGTCACGCAAATAGTTTACATAAAAGGAAAACATAAGACTCGCCGGAAACAGGCTTGAGCTCATGCGAGATTAACGCCAGTAAATGGTAAACAAAATTACCAATTCAATATAAATAATCAATTAAAAATATATATATAAACGATACTAACCTTAGAAAAAATAAAGTTAAATTTTTTTTTTTTTTTTTTTACACTGTGCAATTATATTCGTTAAAAAATTAATAAAAATTTTTAATATGAATTATAAAATAAAACCTTTATAATTCACATTTTCTATGTATTATTGAATATTACAAAACAACATTTTGTTCCGACTACTACCGCTACTACTACTACTACTACTACTCTTATAGAAACTTATAAAAATATCAAAACGTAATAAAATTACGCATTTGAAAATAAACTTATTACGTTTTGATATTAAACAGCCTACCTAAAAAGTCTAGGAGTTTTCAAAGTCGTGGCTCTAGTTGATTTTATTTGATGCCTTCATAATTCTTTATAATTACAACAAAACGAATAATTTTTGTTTAGAAAAAAAAAAAAAAAAAAAAAAAAATGGTAAAATATTTTGACTTGAATATAATTAGAATTTCATTTTTCAAAACAAATAAAAGGCCATCATATGAAAAAAAAAAAAAATTAAAAATAAAATTAAATACTCGAGGTCGATTGAAATCGTGTAAATAAATGACCTACTTTTAATTAAAAAAAAAAAAAAAAAAAGGTAAACAATCGTTTTTATTTAACATGAAATTTTCAAATAATTATCAAAAAGGCTCAAAATAAACCTCAACTTTAACAATAACGTTAATATTGTTAAATTTTTTTTGTTGAGGTTAATAAAATATTGAATCATACTACTTCAAATTAACAAAATATATTTCAAGTTAAAATAATACAAATTATATATATATAAAAAGCATTTTAAAAATAATTAGATATAAATACACAAAATGATGATTAAAAAAAAAATATTCGAATTAAATTTTTATAAGATGGGATTAATCGATCAGTCAGCTAAAAAAAATTATTTTCATTAATTAATATTAATTTTAACAAAATTAAATAATTATCATATTGACATTTCAGTTTTTAATCTTTTAAATACATACAAATATATATAAATAAATAATTTAAGGCCTCTTAAAATATACATTTTTTATTCGATATCGATATACTGATTATGAAAAGATTACAATTTTATCTATACGGCCTATGTACTCCCGTCACGTGATGATTTCTTCCCCAATCGTAAACGTGACGCTCCGACATTTCCGAAGACAATCTTGGATCGCAAGAATTCATTTTCAAACCTCCACCGGTTCGACTCAAAGTATTCTGACGATGTTGATAATGATGATAGCTCGGATTTGTCATCACGTTTAAAAAAGGTCTTGCATTTTCCGGTCCTTCGATATCGTTTAAATTGGTTTCCAAATAGGAATTACGATAATGGGGATCCGGTGTGAAATCGTGTACGGGTATCGACGTGAAATCACCTCCTCCTCCTCCTGGATGTACGATTCGTCGAGAACCGTCCATCAACGACAATCTCAGAGCACGTTTCCTTTCCTTAACGTTACGCCTGACGCAACAATGTACGGATAATAAGAGAATACAAACTAACACGAGCAACACTCCGATGTACATGAGAACCACTAAATCTCCTTCTTTTTGATTACCGTGAAGTACACTACCGGCGATTGTCAAAGCTATCCCTGTCAATATTCCTGCTATGAATATTACCTGGAAAAAAAATTATATTAACATTAGTGTCTGTGGCCACGTGACTGTATAGGATATCGTATAATCGCTACCTGTAGGAAGTAGTAACAAAATGTTTCGCAGGCTATGCACTGCCCTCCGCAACTTCCCATTCCTCCTGTCGAGGAATCTCCTCCCGAGCTTTCCTGGCCTGTGCTCATAGCCGTTCCGGCACTTTGTGACGAAATTATAACGGGTTGTACGTGTTGATTTAACAACGGACCCTGATGTGACATTATTTGGTTTCTTGGGAGAAGCCATTCCGAAGGCTGGGATAATGTATTTCGCGTTCGACCACTTCGACTTCCACAAGAACTGTTGGTCGATGATTCCGGTTTGTCTCCCCAAGGATTTCTATGTGAAACGTTATAATATTATGTAATCATTTTAACATTAAATTGAGTGGGTTAAGAGCAAATCATAATCTTACCGGACGTGCAGATAAGGTTGAGGCAATGTTGTCGCCTGATAGGGATGGCGAGACGGCCTCAACATATTTTAATACCATTGCGGTAGATCCTATTCTTCGTCACTACAATAATAATAATAATAATAATAATAATAATTTTCTTTTTAATAATTTCTAAAATAATCGATAACCTTTTTAATATTTTAAAACTCACATTTAACATAATTTAATCTAATGTATCTCTAATAAAACCTCACACATAATAACATTCGATATTCATTTTATTATCGAAACAAACTATTTTAACTTTAAAATGATTTTCCGATTATATAAAAATTACAATTTTAATGTTTCTTCTGCTTACATTTAAAATGTAAAACATAAATTACATATAACAAACATAGTAATATCGATTAAAATAAAATTTTAAAAGACAATGCATGTAATCATTAACAGTCTTTCGATTTTAAATGAGAAACAAACATGATATATTTACTTTAATAATTATTGTAAGTAATGTAACAAACAATCATTATTACATAAATAATGATTGTTGATTCATGTTCTATTTATTTTATTTTTAATTAATTTTATTATTTTGTAAACTAATTTCAAAATGGTTAACCAATAGGTTAAAATTAATATTTACTAATTGGTAAAAATTATAACCTAACATCACTTAAAAAAAACTTCTACAAATCAATTGGAATATTTATTAAGTATATTATTATTAATTGATATTTAAATGAAATTCCAAAAGAAATAAAATATTTAATAAAAAATTAACCCACCTGAAAACGCGACACCTTTCTACCTTAGAATGTCAAAAAACCACAATTTTTTCTCTAGAAGACATTTTGATCTAGTTTAGACTTTCAACAAAAAAAAAAAAAAATTTTTACTTTCGAATATAATTGTTCGGTTTAAATTATTTTTCCCATTTCTAAAACAAATCGTTTTAAAATACATTCATTAGAAGGTAAAATTTTATTAATAAATAAATAAAAATAATTATTAACATAATTTTAATAACCTGTTAATGAAAAACCTCCTGTTAAGTTTATTATAAATTTTATTCACACAATCCGTGTGTGTGTGCGTACACCCAAAATTTCACGTATAAATGAAAAATGTGACTTTAAACGAAAAATAAAAAATTTTTTTCTTTAATTACTTCACACAAAATTAATTTAAAATAAAAATAAAAACGTAAAATTTAAAAAAAAAAATTGAAATTGAAATTGAAATTGTAATCGTGAAGCAAACTAAAAACACGGCGAACGCAATTGACAGAGCCTAAATGCCAATGTCAGTTGTTTAATAATTTTTTTTTTTAAAAAAAAGACACAAGTTCATATGTTTATTCATATCACATATACCCTTTTAACATTGAATATAATTCTATGAAATTTAATACGGAGTTGATGCCGTATACGTTAACTAGCTTGGAGATAAACGGCGGGAAGAATCCATCGTTCTTCGGCCATTTAACCGCACAAACAAGATTTTGATTTATTTCCCTTTTACAAAAAAAAAAAAAAAAAAACTCACGTTATGGATGAACAAGCCATTTTTAGTTTCAACTTTTTTTTTTCTTAACGACTTTTAATATTATTATTATTATTATTATTATTGAGTAGGTATTCAAAAACACACACACAGGCACAATCCGTTAAAAATATTTTAATTATTAATTTATTTATGTGTATTTGTTTTTGTTACATGTAATGAATTAAATTTTTTTTTCTTTTTTCTTTTCTATTTAATAACATTTAAATAATTTAATTATAATTGAATTGTTTGTTTTTAGGAAAAAAAAAAAATTTATTATTTCCAGGTTTTCCAGGTTTTTTTTTTAGAAAGATTTCATCATTTATTTTGTTAAAAATGTTAATTTATTAGGGTTGATGTTATTTGTAAGGTTCTGTGGTTATGAAAATGTTTTCCAAAATTCAAACCCAACAACCTTCTTTCTAAATTTTATTTTAATTTACCTTTTTTTTTTTTACAACAGTTATGTTTTGTATATTTTCTAAACACATAGTTTT